ACATCAGCAGCAGTTTTTGTCTTATTCCTTGTATCTTCTTTGGCTTTTGTCATTGGTTGGTATTCAAAATCTAGCTTATGTGCTTGTTTTCTTGACTTTTATTTGATTCTTTTGACCATTGATCTTTGTTGAGGAGTTCCAGTTTTTTTGGCGGACATTTTCTTCAATTGGTCTTCTTTTCTACGCAATTTAGTCATGAATATTACTTATATTTCTTGCATTTGTGTTTTCATGGCTGCTATGAGTTTGTCCTTGTCGTCCTCTTTGGTTGATGTTTATGCTTGGTCATCACCTATAAAAATGTTTGTGTTTTGGTCAGTTTAATTAAATTTTGCAGTTTGCTTCAGTATTAGACAAGAGTTTACCTTGTGCATGAAATGTGTCAGATTTCTCTTGGAGTTCTTCTTGTTGTTATGTCCTTTTTTCTTCTTGTTGTTTTGCTTGTTCTTTTTTTTTTTTTTTTCATGTTATTGTTGTTGGTTTGTCAATTCTTGTTCATTGACTTCTTGTTGTTGGTTTGTTTGTTTTTCTTCTTGTTCTTGTTGTTGGCCTTCTTCTTCATCAGTATCTTCTTGTTGTTCACCTTCTTCTTCTTCTTCTTCTTCTTCGCCATTGTCTTGTTGTTCATTAGTTTCTTCTTCTTCTTCTTCAGTCACTTGTTTTTTTTTCGTCATCACTCTCTTCTTCTTGTTCATCACTTTCTGATTCTTCTTGTGGTTCTTGTTTTCTTTTCTTTCTTTTTTGTTGTTCTTCTTGTTCTGATTCTGATTCTGATTGGTGTTCTTCTTCGAGAAAGTCATCCTCATCACTGTCTAGAAGTCTTTTTTTTTTTTGCTTTTATTTGTTTTTTTCGCTTATTGTCCTTTTTGTGGTCATGTTTTTTTTGCTGAAGAGTCTGTTGATGTGCTTTAATTAATATGCAATAACTGTATTTCTTGTTCAATTGGAGTTAAACCACATTGGTCAACCTACATTGGAACAATGTGGCATATATCAGTAATACTGTAAAATTGGTCAGTTTCATATCATGAGTTGTACTGTGAGTAATGTGAGTTAAGTGTTGAAAATATGTTGTTTGAAACTGAAAACTTTTACAGTCACATAACATGATTTTTACTATAATGACCGTGAAAGGATTGTTGAATAGATTTGTGCGTTGAAACTGTAAACTTTTGCAGTTTCATAACATGAGTGATATTAAATAGGTGCGTGCTTTGAAACTGCAAACTTTTACAGTTTCATAATATGATTTGTATTGTGAGTAATGTGAGTTAAGTGTTGAAAATATGTTGTTTGAAACTGAAGAATTTTACAGTTTCATAACATGATTTTTACTATAATGACTGTGAAAGGAGTATTGAATAGATTTGTGCTATGAGAGTATAGAAGAGTTTGAATATCTTTTCAAAGTCAGCAAGGCTGATGTGTTTCCACTTGGAGTACATTTTGCCAAGGTTCCACTTCATAAACCTTGGAAAGCCTTCTTTGTTGGATGGTCGGAGGAGTTTACTGTGCTCACAGTACCAGTACTATAAAAAAAAATTGAAATATGTTAGACAGTTCGAAATAGGTGGATGTTTGATATTTTTGTGTGAAGTAGTTGAGTAGTGTGTTTACCAAGAGTAACATGACGAATCCAGTGACATGTCTTGGGTTGTTGTTTGCATTTGCCATTGAATTCATTAGTGTATCTTTTATTGCCTCAACCCAATTGTACTTCTTGATGTTGTTGAGATTGTCAACATAGTTGAGGAAACTCCAACTGAGTATATGGCCTGTTGTAGGCATGAGAAGTTTCAAGCACAAGTAAAGGGTGATGACCCTTGCAAGATCTTGACGATCATTGATTGATTTTCCTTTTTTTGTTTGTTGAAACATTTTGGTTTATGACTTGCCATCCAATCTCTTTACTGATTTGCATCTTTGTTTGTAAAATGCAAGTTCAAAATTCTTTGGTCTTGCATAGGATTTGGTGGTGATGCTGTCTTCTCCACAGTCGATACCAAAAATGAGCCTGACATCACTCTTTATGAGTTTCATTTCCTTTTTGCCAAGTATAAATGCTTTTTTTCTTTTGTTGTAGAGTGTTGTCATTTTTATTACAATGAAATTGTAGCATCTGCACCAAGAGGCCTTCAGTTGTGTTGAGGAGAGAGCATTTAATGGGCCAAAAATGGGTTTTTTGCAGCTCTGTCTGTTGGGCTTTTGTGAATTTGAACCTCTTCAACAGTTTGATTACTGTTTCGATATTGGAACGGTAATTAAACTGTTGAACTCTCTTTACAGGGACTGCTCCTGTTTTCTCTTTTGATGGCTTGGTTTTTGTTTTGGGAGTTGATTGGCTTTCTTGAAGCTTTCTTTCTTTGGTTTGAGGAGCTTCTTGTTTTTTTGTTAGCTTTCTTTTGTTTGTTTTTTTTGTGGTTAGATGTGTGGTTGGTGTTTGTTGTGTGGGTGTAGTCTGTGGTATAGTTCTTAGGCTTTTTCTTGTAGGTAGTGTGGTTGTTTTGTGGGTTTTTTTGGTTGTTTTTGGTTGTGGTGGTTGGGTTTTTTGTGGAGGGCGATATTTTGGTGGCATTTCAGTGGATACAGGCGAAGGACCGTCAAAAGGGGAGATACTTAAATCCTTGATTGGATTTTTGGGCATATGGTTTGTTTCTTCCAATATCTTCCAATAGCTATTTCTGAAAAAATGAAAGCGACAGCAGAGCATGAGTAATATAGTGACAAAACTGTATGCAATTTTACATGCAGTTTAATATGAAGTTATATCTATTTGTTGTTAATAGTTATAAAATTTTATAATTTGACAGTTTGATTTGCACTTTATAATAAGTTACCTATTTGTTTTGAATAGTGATTAAACTGTGTAATTTTGCAGTTTCATTTGCAGTTTGAATAAATTTAGATATGTTACTTGTAGAGTGATGAAACTGTCCGATGTTTCAGTTTTATAAATAGTATCAACAATAAGAACAACCCATTGTATTTTGTAAACAACAACAATAACAACGAGAAGATTAAGTATTCAACGAAATGTAGTAACAATACGAAGAAGAAAAGCCAATATTTAACAACAAGAATAGGAACAAGGAGTTGAATGTGTAAAAATAGGGATTATGTGTAAAAACAGGAGATTAGAATTTTTAAAAACAGGGGACTTGAATGTTTTAAAACAAGGGATTATATATAAAAGAGGGTTTATACATTTTGAAGTATGTAAAATGTGTTTTACAAGGTTTTTTTTTATGAAAGTGTTATTGAAACGGTATATACGAAATATGAAAGAATAATGTACAAATTTGAATGAAAAATAATAGGTGAAGAGAGATTTTACTTTTTTTCTCCATTTCTGTGAATCGAAAGTCAGAAACTATGAAATTTCTTCAGAGTGGTGATGGTTCTTCGTGTTGTTGAGAGTCGTCGATTGGAGAAGATGAACGGGTTTGTTTTGTGGTTAGGGTAGGGTTTCAGAGGGAGTGGAGTCGAACGGTGGAGAGATGGAGCACTGAGAATGTAGAGTCGAGCGGCGGAGATGTGACAGTGTACTGATTAGACTGAGATGATCGTGAGTGAAGGTTGCGAGCGTGTAAATTGGATGATATATTGTGGGTATTTTCATCTGATTGATAATTTGAGGACTTAATGGAGTATTAAATTTGTTTTGGGGCTAAATGGGGCATAATCTGTTGGGCTTGGACCTTTGGGTCAGTTTCCCATTATAAAAGGACATATTAGCCATTCGCTAATCTCTCTCTCTCTCTATCTATATATGTTATATTTGAAAAATTATAAACTATTCTCGGAGTATTACGTGTCCGTACTCCTAACCAATCATAATTTATTTTGCCCCTCATGTTCCTCAATCATCTAACACAATAACTCGTTTATCTACCTTCTCCACCAATCACAATATTATAAAATATTACATGTCCATATTACGAAATTACTAAATAATTACCCGTTATATTCTGATTTGTGTATGTATCATGTATGTATACGTGTATTTATATGAAAGTGATGACGATAGCTGATTTCTTCGACGACAATGCTTTGACAAGTATCACTATTGAGGTGTTTGGCTATTGAGAAAATTTAAAATAAGAGAAGAAATTGAAACTCAATTTAATGAGCATGAATGACATTATACTTGGAGGACCTGGGCTCACTACAGGTTTTGTTTTGATAATTTGAACCGTTTAATATGTAAAATTCGTCAAGTATTATAATCAAATCAGTTTTGTATAAAAAAAATGGACGGTAAAAAAATAAACGGTTGATAGAAATCGAATCCGATAAGATAGCTATTGATATCCGATCAATCTGATTTTTTGCAAACATATAGTATTCAACGAGTTCTACACATTGAATAGTTTGGATTATCGAAATGGAATCCATGATGAACCTTAACGGATCCAACAGTACCCTCCAATTTGTATTGAACTGGAGGGAAACCCAGCCTTGGCTGGGATTGTAAAATACTGTGAAGAAACAGTTGTCGTTTCAAATTTCAAACGAAATTATCCTTTCACTACAACAAAACTGGGTTTTCACGGCACCACATCAACTACATATAATAAATGCACGCTGTGGTTTCTCACCTTTACGACTTGCTTTGTTTGCACGTCTTAAATAATTTTCCAACCACGGTGTGTCTATTGCGTAGATCGTGAATGGTAGTAACGATAATATTTTTACGACTTGCAATGTTTGCCGTAAATAATAAAACTTTCCATAACATACATATGACATGCCATTAATATATCAACTATACACGACACATGTACGCCAGTCGTGAAATGTATTGCACTTTTCATAGCGTACGGAACGCCTATCGTTAAAATTATTGTACTGTTACGACGCCCAATGCATGTTATGAATGCCATGACTAAAAAAAAAAAAAAGTAAGCGCCAAAATGAAAAAATCTAATGCCAAAACACCAAAAAAAAATATATTTAAAAAAATAAATATATCAACCCTTCGACTTCTAATAATCAAAAGGAACATAGAATCGGTTAGGCACAGAGAAAAGAAGAGAATGCAAAATCGCAGGGGAAAGGAAGGGTCTAAGCATCGAATACTATTCAAAACATTCACTCCTTCTAATAGCTGAACATAGAATACTGTTCAAGGAGGAAAACCAAGAAGAGAGGGAGAAGAGAGAGGCTTCGAACGGTAAGGGTTTCAAATGGTGCTCTCTCTCTCTCTCTTCACCCCACTCTCATACTCTCTCTCATATGCCCTACCACACCACCAATTTCTAGGGTTTATATATCTCGTTGTGGCAAATTGACCCAATTGAGAGTTCTGAGAAGCCATGGACGAAGCGACACCACTCGTTGCTGAACACTCGAATTCTGAAATCCTAACCAAGAGCCTTCTTGTTGGTTTTCTTGGTTCATGGTGTTGCTCAGAACTTGGAGAATATTATCAAAACTGTGAGTTATAACTTTGCTTGTTGTCATTTTTGAAGTAATTTTTTGTTTTTTGAAGCAAAAATTGATTTGATTAATGTTTTTTTTTCTAGAGTTTAGTTGATTATTTTTATCCTTTAAACTATCAATTTCATCTATTTAGTGTTTTATTTTCTAGAGTGTTCTATTTTATCTATTTGATTTGATTATTGTTTTTTGCATTCGAGAATTTTGCATATAACACACTCATATATGTTTGATTAAGTTGGTTAGAATTGATATTGGTCATGCCCCAAAACCCTAATTGATGTGTGCAATTTCATGTGCATATATGGTGCTTGGTTGCTGAAGACAACGTGTTTGACAAAAGTCCCAAGTGAGGTGAGCTTCCTCTTGCTTTGATTATCTTTTCTAATGAACCAAACAGAGTATTTTTCTCATTTGATTACTTTGGTTGATTGTATGTCACAATTTTTAGCCTAATTTGTACTCTTTTTTTTATTTGTTAAAAAATTATTATTGTACTGTGATTTACTGTAGAGGTCTAAATGTGTGATCTTTGAGTGAACTGAACTCTTAATTCTGGAACCTTTTGTGACCACTACTATTGTCATGTTGCTTTTTTCAGTTATATGTTTATAATCACCTCAAAAATAATGCAGCGTTCATTGCTTATGTCTTTTATGCATCCATTCTTAGATTTCATTTGGTTTTTCATTTCACTCTTCAGTTTACTGAAATTGTTTAATCTCACTACAACAAATGAGAATAAGAATGCTTGGTTTTAATTTTGCAAACAAAGAGTGAACCAAATACATATTCCATAGCACTCAAATTTTGCATTTTGCATGGCAGAGTGCTATGGAATATGTATTTGGTTCAATCTTTGTTTGCAAAACTATTGATGCAGTAAGGGAGGTTAGTCTTCTTTAGAAGTGCTTTTTCTTGAGGTGCTTTTCTAGATGATAAATTCTAATAATGTAAATTGCTTTTTGAAGTTGAATTATTATGTTTTTTTCTCCTTAAATTTTGTTCCTGCTATGTTCTGGTCAAGTTAAAGTTGAGTGCAAGTATTACTTTTGATTTACATGAACTAACTAAACAATACTACAAAGAGGAATAGAGCATGAGATACTGGATTTGGTTATCAAAATTTGTAATTGATGATTGAAAATTTTGTCCTTCAATGCAATCTTGTTACTTTGGTTCCATTCAATTGATACATTAAAGTGTTAAATTTTGTTACATAAGAGAAGCAGTTGCTACTAGCTCCGTAAGTGCTGCTCTCCACATCTGAAAGAAGTAAATAGAAGAAAATTAATCTTCAATTAATCTCCCCCCTCCCAAATAGTGCACATGTTATATCAATAGAAAATTACAATAGAATCATTCAATTGATACATTAATGCTGTGTTTGGTTGAGGGATTTGAGGAGGGATTTGGAAAGGGAAATGGAAAAGGTAGGTGAAATGTGAAAAAAATATATCTACATTTCACATAGTTTCACACATTTTTTTCCTTTCCCTTTTCAAATCCCTCCCCAAATCCCCCAACCAAACACAGCATAAAGTGTTAAATTTTGTTACTTCTATTTCTACTACTTTTCTGTCTAGTTCTTAGTGGATTAATTATAAAATTATTTCAATTCCATAATTTAAAACATATTCTACTCCTCATGAAAATATACTTCTATGTTTAAAATGATAACTTAGTTGATTTCTTTGTGTAGCAAAGATAGATTTATTAGTATTTTTATTGTGTTTCACTCACACTTCTGCAGTGTTTGGCCATGTTTCGGACTTCAACATCTCATCTTAAACAATGTTTGTCAGTGATCTATTCAACATTCATTTTGTTTTGAAATCAGTGACATTGACAGACTCTCTGCACCAATGACTTTATTACACAAAAAAATGTACTTATTCTACATAAAGTAGTATATTATTTATATTAACTTAATAAGCTAACCCTTAGATTTGGTGTTAGTCTAAACTTAATTTTCAACTCATGCATGTCCACATCTTCGCTTATTGCCTTTTACCTTCAATTTCAAACCTTTGTACCTTGAATGAGTTTTTATTTATTTATTTATTTTTATGTGATTGTTCTTAATCTGAATTCGTGGGCGGGTTTTGGGCAGCCACGGGGCGCGGGCCAATTTTATACTCTTATTAATGTGAATATTCACATGTCAATGTGAATATTCACATTGTCAACGGGCCGGGCCCGCCTTGGCTCGCAGACGGGTTTCGGGCCGCCCACGGGCCAATTTTACATTCCTACCAATGTGAATTTTAAAATATGAATACTCACATCATAAAATTGCTAACCGTTCAAAAACTATTTATAAGGGTATCAAAATTAAATATAAGGACATAAATGTCCAAGAAAATAGTGTAAATCAAGAAAAATGACTTTATGGAATAAAACTATACAGGGACTAAATGGGTTAAAAAATTCCTTCATAGACCTCTTGGATTAAAACACTTCTAAATGAGATTTATTAATAATTTTCCCTTAAAAGTAGGAATGGATAATTTCTCAAAATCAGTTTTTTTAAATTAAAATAAAATTTTTAAATCAAAAATTATTTGAAATAATTTTAATCAAACGGTGTAAAATAATTTTTTTGAGTAAATTACAAATACGCCTCTTGAGGTTTGGTTAAAGTATAGATTGTCCCCTATAGTTTGAAAAATTACAAATACTTTCATGTTAAAAATTTTTATTTAACAGAATTAACTAAAAAAAAATTCATAATTGCTCTTCTATACAATAATAAAATTACCTAAATTATTAATTGAGACATATTTATAGCATCATTAAAAACTGTTAATTGACTTGATAATTTATTAATAAAAAGAGCGATTTGTTATGAAATTAAAAATCTCAAGGGGTAGAATGTAATTTCTAGAATCACAGAGGATGATTAATATTTTAATCAAACTTCAAAAGATATATTTATAATTTACCTTTTTTTAAAAAAATTAAAATAAATCACACCAAACATATACCAATGAAACTTACATAACTATCATTAATATCAAACACGTCATCATGAATCGAATGGGATATGCAAGGAAAGATTTTACGGTGGTATTATATAAATTAGTTAATGTATTAATTAATATATCAATATTAATTATAATATTATTATCGACAATGCTACGTAGCTCAAATTTTGTGGCTCAAAAGTGGCTCAAATGGCCAAAACGACGTCGTTTTGAGTACAGAACAACATAACTGTACTCAAAACGACGTCGTTTTGGCCATTTGAGCCACTTTTGAGCCACAAAATTTGAGCTACGTAGCATTGTCGTTTAAATTAACAAGTATTCCAAAGTTATTAATTTTAGCCTCCAATTTAGATGTAATTACCTAATTGAAACTAGACATTAAAATTTGTTAATTTTTAACCTTCAATGACTGAATCGAAAGTAGACTATAGAAACTAAGGTTGGGAGAGCAGGTCGGAAGGAACAGCGAAATGATTGTCAAAGGATATAAGCGAACGTTGTAGACAAGAAAAAGGTTAAGCTTTCTATCTCTAATCTCTCCCTCTACGCATTACTTCTCTTCCTAACTTGCTCGTCGGAGAGTTCGCTGGGGGACTACCCCGTTCCCCGTTGAACTTGCCTGCAGATTATCCGGTGGGTTTGATCATTTGGACGCGGGATTGAGGAGCTTGGACCTGCCCGATCCATTCACTGGGACGAACAGCATCAACAGTTGGCACCGTCTGTAGGAACGCTTTGCTCCTCGCGCTGGTTGTGTTCACTGTCGCCGGAGGCCCCGTTCCAACAACCTTTCTCTCCTACCCGTCAAAGTGCATGGTCACGACTAGATCCATGGCTTCTCACAATAATGTTGCCGACCATTAAGTCGACCGCCCCAATCCAAACAACCCACCACAACATTTCAT